AAGCCCTAAAAACCCTAGAGCCTGAACCCTAAAGATAAACTCAAACTCCTGTCGCGACGACGATGCGCTGGGTGGCCCACCCAGCATGGGTCCAGGTGTCCGTCCTGAGCCGCCAGGTATTTCGGCCCGCAAGAGGATGTCTTTTGCCCGTATCCCTTTAAGAGGAAACCCAACAGAATGTTCACAAGGAGTCATATGTAGTGGTTCGCCCCAGAACCTAAGAATCAGAAAGAAACGGCGCCCCTTTTCGTTTTGTTTTGGGGTTTGTCAGGGAACTTTCAGGGGGAATAAGGCTGCGATTGGGTATCCTCTTCTAAGTCTTCTAGAGTAGTTTGACTCCAAGCTGCGTGCGACATCCCTAACCTTATAAACCCTAAACCCTAAACCCTAAACCCTAAACTGGTGTTCGGAGCGTTTCGGGCTCAGGAAGGCTTTGCAGGGAGTCTGCGAGACTGCGGACGGCTTTGCCTTGAGAAGGGGGAAAACAACTACACTCGCAAACTCTGAACCCTCGTCGGCTTAGGGTTTAGGATTCAAGGTTTAGGGTTCTGGGTTTAGGGTTTTGGATTCAAGGTTTAGGGTTTTATTGTTAGAGTCTACATAGAGTTTTAACTCAGCTCTGAACCCAAAGTCCCTAAACTCCAAACCCTAACAACTGAGCTCATGAACACAAAACCCTACAACCCTGTCCTTGTTGTGGCGAGCGGTTGTGGGCTCAGGGGTTACGATGAGTCCGGTTTCGTACAGAGGTGGGGCTCGGCCGACTACAGTAGCTTAAGGGACGTATCCGAAGTTCTGATCCTTGCACCCGAGTTCAGGCAAGCTGAATTCCACTTCGAAGAGTTGAGACAAGGGTCTCTGCGTTGTAGACGCGGGCGCCGCCCAGGGACACGGCATGAGACAAAGCCTCAGAAGTGAACGTCTTTGTAAGTCTCCAAAACCCAAAGCCCCGATCGTCACCCTAAACCCTAAACCCTAAACCCTAAACCCTAAACCCTAAACCCTAAACCCTAAACCCTAAACCCTAGAACCCGATGCCCTAACTAGGACTCTCTTTACCCACAGTTCTATGGGTTCTAGCTAAACCCTAAACCCTAAACCCTATAGCCTATAGCTATTCATGAAGGGGTAGTTACTACTAAACTGTAGGTGAATCGAGCCCAGAGCCCCCGGTATGCCCCAAATGCCTAGAGCTTCCCCAGCTAAACCCTAAACCCTAAACCCTAAACCCTAAACCCTAAACCCTAAACCCTAAATCCCAGACCCCAAACCCCAAACCCTACACGCCGGAGCCCTCACACAGGGCCCAGGCCGGCCGCACTCCCACGCCAGGGCCCGCCGTCATTCGCTGATCCTGCTGCTTGAAGTTAGGGGTTTATGGGGGGTTTAGGGTTTAGGGTTTTATGGGGGGTTTATGGTTTGGGGGCGTTGAGGGTTTAGCGCTTAGGGTGTTGGTTGCAGCGTTGAGGGTTGTTTGGAGGGAATTTAGGGTCTGGCAACTCTTTCCGTAAGAGCCCCCAAAAGGGTGTTAAGGGCTAAGGGCTTGTAGCATTGTAGAGCAACCTTACAAGATTCGTAGACAACCTGCAAAAAGGCAGGCTTTGGGTTCTTACGGTTTTAGTTTGAAAGTAGCAAGCTGGGTAGAAACCATAAGAGGTGTAAACCATTCGACCGGGTTTATGCCGTGCTTAGAAGGCTTTCACTGCGAAGCTGGGCCCCAACAATCTACAAAATATCTACCCTAAGTCATGAAAAATTAGACAGAAAAAGACCCCCAAAGCCCTTAAAACTAAACCATCCTCAGCCCGTAGCTTGGGGGGGGGGGGGGGGGGCAGCAGGGGCTGATTCGGGCTGTAGGGTTTAGGGGGTTTACCCTAAACCCTAAACCCGAAACCGATGATTGAACAGCGCGGGAGCGCATGAGATAAGAGGGCTTGCGTGGTGGCTTAGGGTCTCTGCGGGGTTAAGGCTATGCGACTATGCCCGTCAGCCTACGAAGTCCTGCAACCAGTTTGGAGCCAGAATCCTACAACCAAACCCTGGAATGTAAGCATTCAGGCCTTACCCTGGACAAATCCTAAACCATTCGCCCTTTCATTCTAACTCTGGGCTTCACTTGCTCAACAGGCTTGGGGAAGTAGCTTCTCTAGAGCTCTGTTCAATTGTTGCACAGGTGACTATGAAGTGCTTAACTTATTTCCACTAAGAAGCAGTTTAGGTCTGTTGCTTTGTCTGGCAGTTGGGCAGCAGGCTTGATGCTGTCTTTTGCAAAGCTGACTTGCCCATCCGGACCAATGGAGCATGAATTTGCTTGCTGGGTTGTGCTTTGAACCCTTCCAAAATTGCTTATGAATAGGTTGGGAAAGTAAAAGTTATCCTAAACCCTAAACCCTAAAACCTAAAGCACAACCCAGTTTAAGCACTTACGAACCGCTTCAGCCCAGATCCGAAGAAGCCGGCGCCGCAAGTTCCATGCCAGGCTGCTTGGGTAGCAGCTGAGAGGAGATGAGGCCAAACCCTGTAGTAAACCCTAAGCCCTAAACCCTTCGCCCTAAACCCTAACCCCTAAATCCTAAACCCTAAACCCAAATGCGCAGTGGCCATGCCATAGCAAGAGGAGAATTCGAAGATGGTCACCTACAAAGTTGTGTCGTACAGGTCGCGCAACTGGCCTGACTGGCCCAAGCAAAGAAGGGTAAACTACCATTTGCTTAAGGACCTCAAAATACTCATCATCCGCTCGAAACGGCACAGCGCATGGAAAGCTGCATGCGCCACGAGGAAGCCCGAATGGGTTGAAGGTCCGCGCGTTCGGCATCAGCAGTCTTCTGGATGTCCCGCCCGCTGCCATCAACTTCAGGAGGCTCCCGGAGCTCGCGGCAGCAGGCGGAACGCCGAGAGGAGAATGCCGGAACCCATGTGCGCCTGGAGGCCTTGTCGAAACACCAGCAAGAGCGGGTTGAAAGTCCCCGCGTTCGGCATCAGCAGTTTTCTCGATGTCCCGCCCGTTGCCGCCAACTTGAGGAGGCTCCCGGAGCTGCCGGCAGCAGGCGGAACGCCGAGAGGAGAATGCCGGAACCCATGTGCGCCCTGGAGGTCCCTGTCGAAACACCAGCAAGAGCGGGTTGAAAGTCCCCGCGTTCGGCATCAGCAGTTTTCTCGATGTTCCGCCCGTTGCCGTCAACTTGAGGAGGCTCCCGGAGCTGCCGGCAGCAGGCGGAACGCCGAGAGGAGAATGCCGGAACCCATGTGCGCCCTGGAGGTCCTTGTCGAAACACCAGCAAGAGCGGGTTGAAAGTCCCCACGTTCGGCATCAGCAGTTTTCTCGATGTTCCGCCCGTTGCCGCCAACTTGAGGAGGCTCCCGGAGCTGCCGGCAGCAGGCGGAACGCCGAGAGGAGAATGCCGGAACCCATGTGCGCCCTGGAGGTCCCTGTCGAAACACCAGCAAGAGCGGGTTGAAAGTCCCCGCGCTCGGCATCAGCAGTTTTCTCGATGTTCCGCCCGTTGCCGTCAACTTGAGGAGGCTCCCGGAGCTGCCGGCAGCAGGCGGAACGCCGAGAGGAGAATGCCGGAACCCATGTGCGCCCTGGAGGTCCTTGTCGAAACACCAGCAAGAGCGGGTTGAAAGTCCCCGCGCTCGGCATCAGCAGTTTTCTCGATGTTCCGCCCGTTGCCGTCAACTTGAGGAGGCTCCCGGAGCTGCCGGCAGCAGGCGGAACGCCGAGAGGAGAATGCTGGAACCCATGTGCGCCCTGGAGGTCCTTGTCGAAACACCAGCAAGAGCGGGTTGAAAGTCCCCGCGTTCGGCGTCAGCAGTCTTCTCGATGTTCCGCCCGTTGCCGTCAACTTGAGGTGGCTCCCGGAGCTGCCGGCAGCAGGCGGAACGCCGAGAGGAGAATGCCGGAACCCATGCGCGCCCTGGAGGTCCTTGTCGAAACACCAGCAAGAGCGGGTTGAAAGTCCCCGCGTTCGGCATCAGCAGTTTTCTCGATGTTCCGCCCGTTGCCGTCAACTTGAGGAGGCTCCCGGAGCTGCCGGCAGCAGGCGGAACGCCGAGAGGAGAATGCTGGAACCCATGTGCGCCCTGGAGGTCCTTGTCGAAACACCAGCAAGAGCGGGTTGAAAGTCCCCACGTTCGGCATCAGCAGTTTTCTCGATGTTCCGCCCGTTGCCGTCAACTTGAGGAGGCTCCCGGAGCTGCCGGCAGCAGGCGGAACGCCGAGAGGAGAATGCCGGAACCCATGCGCGCCCTGGAGGTCCTTGTCGAAACACCAGCAGGAGCGAGTTGAAAGTCCCCGCGTTCGGAGCTCCCGGCAGTCATCGGGGTAGCGGAGCTTGTCGAGCTCTGTCTGCGCAGCCTAGATTGCGGCCTTAGTCAGCTCCATGTCCGAGATGTGGCCGGACAGCCCTTCGGCCGGCCCATCTCGGAAGCGCGTGACTGCAAGCGCTCGCCACCGATGCCCCGAACGTGGTACTGTCTGGGAGCGCTCCCCCCTGTCGGCATGGACAAAGTCGCCAGCCGGAAAAGTGCGCAGTTGCGGATGTAGCAAAGGAGGCCGGACACGCAGCGAGCCAAAGATCGTCACAGCCGACCAAAACCAGCAGACACGGCCTGCGGCCTGCGGCGCTGTCAAAGAACTGTCCGATCGAGCCCCCCAGCCACTGCTCCGCCATTTGGTGGTCTGTTTGCCCGCATGCTCCAGACTTGCCACATCTTGCCGAGCCTCACGGGCCACTCTGTCATGAAACTCTCGAAGCTCTGCTGCAAGGGCCACCTTCAGTTTCGCTGCCGGTGGGTCAGGCGCGTCCCAGCACCAGGCGCAAGATTGCATGCAGAGTCATCTGCATGCCCGGGCGCTGCTCGCAACGCGCAAGAGTTGGGAGTGGCTTCTCACAGTGAAACTACGACTTACAGTGATGACATGTGCACATTGGAGCTGCGTGGCGGCGCAACAAGAAGATGTAGACCGGCACTGTCAGGCTGTGCTTCGAACAAAC